ACCCTCCTCCTGGTGAGCAGTGTCACCTCTGCTCTCCCCACTGCTCGCTGTGCTGCTCCTGGGGGGTCACCATTGGTTTTTGGGGTTATTCGCATTTTGGCAAGCCCTGGGGGTCACATTTAGGCTGTCCCATGGGATGGGAGCGTTCCTGTGCCAGCCTGGCTCGTGCAAGCTCAGGAGGAACCAGGCAGAAAAGGCTGGAGGGTGCAGGGTGATGTCCTTGCCCACCAGTGCCAGGATTGGCCCCTTTGAGGCTCAGCTCTGTGCTCAAATCCAGTTTTGCAGCATTTTGGACACTGGGATTGCAGACTTGGCATGCTGTGTGTTGAGCTTCAGGCAGGAACAGCAAACCCAGGTGGCCACAACATTCCAAGCCCTGGCAGTGGCTCAGGGACCCTGGTGATGCTGCCCTGGGACAGCCTGGGGGCATCCAGAGCATCACCTCCATGGGAAACCCAAAGTTTTGGGGTTCAGGTTACAGGTTACAAACCTCCAGCAGGTTTTTGGTTATTGAAGAGCTGCAGACAGGCAGTTTCCCCCAAAATCCTCTTTTCCAGGCCTGGTCCCCCACTCCTGCATGACTGGGGAGCTGAAGGTGCCTCTTTTAGCAGAGCTTTGGCCTTGTTTCTTAAAAGCTGTCCTAAAAAAAAATGGGAGCTATTTTCCCTAACCTTGAGGGGGGATTCCTGGCTGCCTTTGGCTGCCCCTGGCCGGAGCCAGAGCGTGATTTTGATTTACAAACAGTTTAATCTGAGGAATGCAGCAAAATGGGGAGCGCCAAGTGCATGCTGCTGCAGTCCCAGAGAACCCAGCTGCTGTCCCAGCCTGCTGAGCTGCTGCTGCTGCTGCTGCTGGGTCCCTGCAGGCTCAGCCCCTCCCTGGCACAGCCCTGGGCACCTCGGTGCCACACACGAGGCAGGAGAGGGCGCAGGGTGAGGGCACATAATGAGTGAACACACCATGAGTGTCGCAGACATCTTTTATGGAAAATCCTTTCCTTGGGATTTTTCCTCCTGAGAAGCTGAGAGGCCTCAGGAACAAAATGTAAGCAATGGTTATCTGCTGCTGTGGAATGCAACAGCAATCTGTGATTGGCCTCATGTGGATGTTTCTAATTAAGACACAGAGCCCGAGCCACAAACCTTTGTGATCATTCTTTTCTATTCTTAGCCAGCCTTCTGATGAAACCTTTTCTTCTATTCTTTTAGTACAGTTTTAATGTAATATATATCATAAAATAATAAATCAAGCCTTGTGAAACAGGGAGTCAGATCCTCGTCTCTTCCCTCAACATAAGACCCCTGTGAGCACGGTCACACATGAGGTTTTTAGGAAGGGGAGACAATCCCAGTTTTATCCAAGACCTGTTTTGTGTCTCCCCACTCTTTGCTCTCTCTCAGCCCACTCTTCCCGCTCACCTCTGGTTATTTGAAATTCCTTTCCCAGTGGATGTCAAACACCAAGCTCCACTTTCACCTCCCTGTGCAGCCCAAGCCCAGCTCAGCCTGGTCAGACCAAGCACTGGGACCATCCCCTTGCGTCCTTCACCTTCCATCTATTTTATTTTCACCTTCCACCCGCTTTATTTTCACCTTCCGCCCACTTTATTTTCACCTTCCATCTGTTTTGTTTTGGTGGCTGCAGGACAGGGGCCGCCTGTGCCCTGCACAGAAAGCAGCTCCTGTTCCCTGGTGCCAGGAGGTGCCTTTGCCCTCGAGCCTCAGCCCTGAATCATCCCTTGTTTACTGCCCTGGGAGAGGAAAAGCAAAGTTTGGCCGGAGCACCACCAGACAGGGTTTTATTTTATTTATTTTTATTTTTATTTTTATTTTTATTTTTATTTTATTATTTTATTTTATTGTTTCATTTCATTATTTTATTTTTTATTCTTATTTTAAAAATTATTTTATTTTATTATTTTATTTCATTTTATATTTTATATTTTATATTTTATATTTTATATTTTATATTTTATATTTTATTTTTTATATTTTATTTTTTATATTTATATTTTATGTTTTATATTTTATTTTTTATATTTTATTTTTTATATTTTATATTTTAGTTTAGTTAGTTTGTTTATTTTATTTTATTTTATTTGTGGCCTTGCTGAGGTGGATGATGGCTGCTGGAACCTTGTGCTGGTTCCCAGTGCTCCCCCAGGTGAGGATGAGGAGGCAGCGAGGGCTGAGCCGCCCCTGTGGCTCTGGCAGGACGCTGGGCTGCAGCAGGGGAGGCTGGAGGGAGGCACAGCCACAGAACTGAGTTCTTTTCCTCCTCCTGCAGAGGAGTTCAGCCAGAGGTTGCAGAGACCTCAAGGAAGCGGCCGTTCCTGCAGGGCTGGGGAGAGGAGCAGGCTGGCTCTGCTGTGGTTCCTCAGCTCCTGTGGCTCTGGGGACACTCAGGAGCTCTTGGTGGCTTCATCCCTCCTGGCCCTGCAGGGACATCTCCTCCTTCAGGTCCTCTGAAGAGTTTCAGCCCATCCTTCATGACAAATCTGCATTTCTTGGTGGTTTTCCATCCCTTCCTCTCTCAGCAGCCTTTGTCTCCTTCGTTCCAGCTGCCTTTTCCACATCTCCTGTTCCATCTCCCTCACAGAATCACAGAATAATGAGGCTGGAAGAGACCTCTCAGATCATCGAGTCCAACCTCTGCCCTAACACCTCACCTATAGCACCAAGTACCACGTCCAGTCTTTTTTTAAGCACATCCTGAGATGGTGATTCCACCACCTCCCTGGGAAGAGTATTCCAATATTTTATTATTCTTTGGGTAAAGAACTTTTTCCTAATATCCAACCTATACCTACCCTGACATAGCTTGAGACCGTCTGTGGTGGTGTTTGCAGGGATCCCAGGATGAGGGAAGAGATGAGAATCTTGACTCCATGTTTCAGATTTATTATTTTATGATATATGTTATATTAAAATTTTATTTATTTTTATTTTATTTATTATTTTATTATATATATTATATTAAAAGAATTGATTGTTTTATTATATATATTATATTAAAGAATTTATTGTTTTATTATATATATTATATTAAAAATCTATATAGTAAAGCTATACTAAAAGAATAGAAGAAAGGATTCCGTCATAAGGCTTGCAAGGAATAAAAAGGAAGGAATTATAATAAAATATTGTGATCGACCAGAGTCTGAGACAACTGGGCTGTGATTGGCCATTAATTAAAAACAACCACATGAGATTAATCAAAGATGCACCTGTTGCATCCCACAGCAGCAGATAATCATTGTTTACATTTTGTTCCTGAGGTTTCTCAGCTTCTCAGAAGAAAAAATCCTAAGGAAAATATTTTTCATAAAATNTTAGTTTGTTTATTTTATTTTATTTTATTTGTGGCCTTGCTGAGGTGGATGATGGCTGCTGGAACCTTGTGCTGGTTCCCAGTGCTCCCCCAGGTGAGGATGAGGAGGCAGCGAGGGCTGAGCCGCCCCTGTGGCTCTGGCAGGACGCTGGGCTGCAGCAGGGGAGGCTGGAGGGAGGCACAGCCACAGAACTGAGTTCTTTTCCTCCTCCTGCAGAGGAGTTCAGCCAGAGGTTGCAGAGACCTCAAGGAAGCGGCCGTTCCTGCAGGGCTGGGGAGAGGAGCAGGCTGGCTCTGCTGTGGTTCCTCAGCTCCTGTGGCTCTGGGGACACTCAGGAGCTCTTGGTGGCTTCATCCCTCCTGGCCCTGCAGGGACATCTCCTCCTTCAGGTCCTCTGAAGAGTTTCAGCCCATCCTTCATGACAAATCTGCATTTCTTGGTGGTTTTCCATCCCTTCCTCTCTCAGCAGCCTTTGTCTCCTTCGTTCCAGCTGCCTTTTCCACATCTCCTGTTCCATCTCCCTCACAGAATCACAGAATAATGAGGCTGGAAGAGACCTCTCAGATCATCGAGTCCAACCTCTGCCCTAACACCTCACCTATAGCACCAAGTACCACGTCCAGTCTTTTTTTAAGCACATCCTGAGATGGTGATTCCACCACCTCCCTGGGAAGAGTATTCCAATATTTTATTATTCTTTGGGTAAAGAACTTTTTCCTAATATCCAACCTATACCTACCCTGACATAGCTTGAGACCGTCTGTGGTGGTGTTTGCAGGGATCCCAGGATGAGGGAAGAGATGAGAATCTTGACTCCATGTTTCAGATTTATTATTTTATGATATATGTTATATTAAAATTTTATTTATTTTTATTTTATTTATTATTTTATTATATATATTATATTAAAAGAATTGATTGTTTTATTATATATATTATATTAAAGAATTTATTGTTTTATTATATATATTATATTAAAAATCTATATAGTAAAGCTATACTAAAAGAATAGAAGAAAGGATTCCGTCATAAGGCTTGCAAGGAATAAAAAGGAAGGAATTATAATAAAATATTGTGATCGACCAGAGTCTGAGACAACTGGGCTGTGATTGGCCATTAATTAAAAACAACCACATGAGATTAATCAAAGATGCACCTGTTGCATCCCACAGCAGCAGATAATCATTGTTTACATTTTGTTCCTGAGGTTTCTCAGCTTCTCAGAAGAAAAAATCCTAAGGAAAATATTTTTCATAAAATGTGTCTGTGCCACCCATCCCCTTGGACCATCCACCCTCCAGCTCACCCCATGTCCACCTGTGGACCAGATTCCCGTTTCCCCGGGGTCTGGGCACACATTTCTCCCTGTGGAGAGGGCAGGGGCGGTAACATTCTGCTTTTCCCTTCCAGGCCAGCCCCAGGTGGGGCCACCCCTGCAGTCCCCTGGTCCCTGCACGCAGCTGCTGCCCAACGGGGACGCGGGGAACGGGATCTGCCGGGCTGTGCCCAGCACACAGAAACCACCCCGAAAGCTGCAGCCACACCACTCCATCAACAGCCAGGGCAGCAAGAAGAGCAAGGGCAGCTCCAAGTCACCCTCCTCCCACATCCCCATTGAGGCGCAGGAAGGTACTGCTGAACCCTGAGGGCTCTTTCCAGATGTTCTCCTTGGGTTCCTCATCCCTTGGGATCTCTTGGTGGCACCCTCTGAGTCCTGGGCTCCTCATCCCTGTGGATCTCTTGGGTGGGATCTTCCAACTCTTCAGGCCCCTCATCCCTTGGGATCTCTTGGGTGGCATC